TGTGTTGCCAGGACGTTAAAAGCTGTACGAGACGTTGGTCAAAAGACTTCAAACATTATATACTCTCGTTTAATTCCTTCATATACTCTTACAAAACTTATTATCTTCATGAACTTGTGATGTTATGTGAATGCAAACTAATCTTGAAATGAATTTGTATTGTTTGTACTTTTGAAAATGCTTTTCAGCACTGGAAAATCTTATCTAACACAAATTCTAATTGAGCTTAGACTACTTTTATATAACATTCACTATTTACAAGACGAAATTTTAATTCAGCATATCGAATTTATATTAGATTACTAACTGATGGTGAAGGTTTTATTACTAACTAGTTTTCTGGTTCTTAACTTCTTCGTTTGTTTTTTTCTCTTTCTATTTAGCCGTAATAAATATCATTGCTTTTTACCTTTTAAAAGTCTTACTTTTTTTTTTTACATTTAATCATTATTTTTATATGATTCAATATTCTTAATAAATATTTTATATTAGAATATAGCAAAAAAATGCGAATTTTTTCAAGGTAATTGTTTTTCAAGCTATTAAAGAAGTAAATAGCTGCAAAATTTTGAGTTCATGTGTCTTATCAAGCTCATCAAGACTGTTATCACTACATCTTATACTTATGAAAAGAAGATTTTATGCTTTGTTTTATCTAATGATAAATAAAATGATTCGGCAGAAGTTACGCAATTTTTTTTAAAATTGTAGCTGAAAAAATAAATAATTCTAAGCTTCTTCTCCCAAGATAAAGTTCTCGATTTACGTTGCATATCTTACGTAAGAGTTCGAGTATTTCTTGAATGGATTAGCTTTCAAGTTCTTTGTAGTCTATCTCAACTGGTTTCTAAGTAGAACTACATGTGTTCTATCCATTTCATGGGTCATTTCTCCAAAAATAACCACACTAACATCGATAAAAATATTAACTTCTATCCAAAAATATGGAAAAAAACAGTGAATTCGCTCATAGTTCGATGCGAATCGTCCAAGAATGATTCTCAACAAATCATATGATATTTACAGACAGAATTCGATGTACTCTATGGATTCCACTTCTCTCTAGCTCAATTTCGATGTAGCATTTATAGAGAACCGCTAGCTAGTTCTTTAATCATATACAGTGTAAAGATAAATTTAGTCATCAGTTTCTTTATTTCAGTCAATCAATGTAAGAGAAGGGAAGAAGACGCAATTATTTTGCTTATAATAATAGTGTGTAGTCGATTTGTATATATGTGGAGGAAAAGGAAAAAAAATCTAATGACTCATTTTCATTCGATCAATAAAAAGAAGAGAACGAAAAAGCTTTCTCCTTCCTTCAACTTGACGACGACATAAAAAAATGCATTTATTTGCTTTTCTGTTTTAGCCAATAAGTTTGAAAGATAGAAAGATGTCGCACATTTATTTGTCATTAAGAGAAGTAATCAAAAATATTGTTCTTAGAAATATTAAAAAATATGAATTCGGAAAAAAAGGCACTTCTAATGATTGACGATACACACTACATTAATTTGTTTAATTGGCAGGGCATATCAAAGAGTGTGGGTACCGCAATGTCACTGATCTGCAGATCTACTTCTATCAACATCAAGTTGCGAAATTAGGTATAGTTTCCTTTTGTCTTATTTGTGAATAAAGGTTGAGTGTTGATGGTATTCGTCTTTGACAATGGATTTCTGACGAGTAGCTATCTAAAGTTTGATCCATTTATTACTCATTCTTTCAACACTTCATTTCATATATTTGATATGTTAGAATTTACGAGATGTATGATATTGATAAATAAATATTCTGAATCAGCGACAATATTGTGATACAACGAAACCTACCCACTAATCATGTTCTGTACAAACGATTCTAGGTTGTTTATTTCTGTTTGTATTTTTTATACGATCAATTCAATAATATAAAGTAATATAGTGGAGAAAGAAGCAGATGACTGATATAATGTATATTTCACACTGGTCAAACAATTGTCTAAATCTTAGTTTCCTTTTTATGTAAAAGATGTCATTAAATCCTTCATTATTCTGTGCAACTGTGATTAATAGGATAAAAGAGAACTATTTGTGTCATGGTTACAAATGATAGTATGAATTAGAGTTGCTTTCGAGTACTTAATGGCAAACTAGGTGTAATAATGACTCGGTGTCGTGTATATAATGAAATAGATAATTGAAAATCAATCATATAAATGGATGTGCCAGTACAAAATGTGGATGAATATGTATGAAGAGATGACCCACACTTGTACGCTTACAAAATCATGAGCTATTGGCACTATCTTATTTTTCAAGTTATACTAGGAAAAAAATATTACATTGCACACAGATCAACGACTTTAGACTAGTCTGATGGCCTGCTAGGCAGCAGATCAAGATGGCAGGCCTGCTGCAGAAGCTATTCAAACCTATACCGTATGATGTTACATATAAGACATGCTTTTCTTGCTTTCAAGGATGAAGAAAAGAAAGTACTTTCTTAAATCTCTATGAATCAATAGAAGTCAAAATATTTTAGCAAAGATGCAACATCAAGTTCGTGATGATCAACGAAAAACTGAGCATACACTAATAATGGACCTGTTTGTACTGTCAAGCGAGATGGACGACCGGGTGGGGTGCAAATGATCACATTCACTGAGAAACTAACACATTTAAAATATGAGCTGCTGATGACTTACTTTGACAGAGATATTCAATTTTTAAGTTTCACATTAATTGAGTGCAGAAACATGATAATACATGAAATATTTATATCAACTTTTAAGATAATCATTAGATTTGTTAGGAAGTACGTTTCCAAGATCGAGATAAGTTTGATTGACATCATTTAGACTACTTTAGATGCGATTTCTTCTAAATTTTAACAGTGTCGATTTCAGAATAACAAGTATCGTATTTAAAAAGTGTTAATATGTAAGATATTCGAAAATTAAGTGCATTGATGCATCACTTAATAATTTGAAAATATATTCTTGTATTATTGGTATTCGTAAGGCTCAATCAAGTGCGCATTCAAAGTAACATCCTTTCTTGTTTTTCACCACGATTAATATTTGAAACGATTGACTCATCGATTGAAAAAATGAATTTGGTAAACATTGCGAAACATCTTCTTTATTTGACACAAATGGAATTTCACTTTCAAAATTCAACTACAAGTGAAGATGAAGTTTTGGCTTCACAACAATTGTTCGAAATTTTAAAGACATTTAAAGATAGTTATTTTAATGAACTACACACTTATGAATCTCTCAATTTCCATGAAGAATATAATGAAATGACAGACGAAGGTGACAGTGTTGATGAAGAGGAATCAACTGATGAAGAACAGAATATTGACGATTACGAAGAAAGTCAATATTTGGATATTCAAAATAATTTTACATTGGAAGAGATGGAAGATATAGTAGAATGGGTTGACCAACATCCAAATTATAAGATTGCAAGTATCAAGAATAGGTTCCGAAAAGTCAAACACGTATGTTACATCAAAGGATTCAGAGAATATATTAAAGCGAACGGCTCAAGATCAGAAAAATTTTAAAAAATCAAAGAATTTATGTGGAATGAATTCTATGTGGAACGAAACAATTGAAAAAGCAGCAATTCATGATAGTGATCTAGAACTTTTTGCAATTCAAAAAGCAAGAGAACTGGGTTGGGATAATTTCAAAGCAAGTGAATCATTTATTGCGACATTCAAGAGAGAATATCGGATTTCATCAAGAAGGTATAACAAACTTGTTACACGGATATCTTCGAGAAGAAAAACTTGTAGTTTGAAAGGTTTGCAAATTTGTACTTAAAATTCTAATCTATTTGTCTTAATATGGTATATATATTTTAGATGCCCACGATTGGATTAACAATCAAAGATCTCTAATTTAGAATTATTCTCCCCATCAAATTTTAAATAGTGACCATTGTTCATTTCAACACGAGTATATATCTCCAAGAACTCTTTTTTTTACTGGTGAAAGAACAACTAAAGTTGTTGTTGTTAAAAGAAAGAATAATCTAACGCATTCCTATACGGTGCAACCTATTACATCAGCTGATGGTCAATTATTAGATAAATTTTTTCTTATTCTCCAAGAAAAAGAAAATGAATTCGGCACAAGCGTACAAAAGGATTTAATCGTGCCACCAAATGTTGTTGTACGAGCTTCAAAATCTGGAAAAAGTAGTGATGAAAAACATCGCACATTTTTAAATGAAGTTCTACGTCCTTTGGTCGGTAGAAAATTTCTTCTTTTCCTTGATTGTTGGACAACTCAAACTGATCTAAAAAAATTTATAGCAGTCTTTCCACATCAAGACAGTCAATTATTAATTTTTCCTCAAGGATCTACTGGTCATATCCAACCGCAAGATCTATTATTATTTCGCTTGTGGTGATTTATTCATGAGAAAATTGAACATTATGTATGTAAGGAAAGTTAGCAGCGTATTCGAGTATTTTCCATGACGAATCGCATGAGCGACTAAGCCACCAAAGAAAACTAGTAAGCCACCTACAACT